AACAAAGGGTTTTTAAAAAAATTTTTTTTCCCCTTTATTTTCAAAAAAATTTTTAAAATAAATTTTATTTTATCAAAAAAATTTCTTCTAATTTTTTAAAACCGCAGAATATCAAAAAGGGGTTCCCTTCTTTTTAGGGTTATCACCAATTATGCATTTTATTTTCCCCATATGAAAGTTTATTCTTTTTTCCAATCACTTTTTTTAAAATACAATTTAAATTTTAAACTTAAATTTCAAAAGTAAATTATTTTTTAATAATTAACATTCGGATCCCCTCACATACAATGCTCCCCAACCCCCCCCAAAAGATCAACAGGTGCCCGACGACCCCTCGCAAAGGGATAAAAGGGCCATATGCCCTTCTTTGCGGTTGTCACTGCCTTCATTATTTTCTTTTTTTTTGCCCTTTCTGCTCTTTTTTGAAAGGTCCATTTGGGAAAAAGTTATTTCATCAAGTTTAAATTTAGTGTTTGGGATGCTTGGGGGTATCAGAATAAAACATTACTTACTTTTTAAATACTTTTTCCCACATTTTTAAAAAAATTTGAATTGAAATATGTTCCAGTCCCCCAAAAACTATTTTGATTTAAATTACCCTTGCAAGCCCAAAGTCAGCCTACACATTTCTTATGTAATAATGTTTTTTAAAAAAGTTTCTGGCTATTTTTTACTCTTAAATCAGGCCAGAAAAATTTGGGAGATCAAGGGAAACTGATCTGCGAGTTTCATCCCCCAAGGGGGACTGTAAAAATACAAGCTCCTTTCGCCCGGCAAAATTGACAGATTCCCCGCAACACGAAAAACTGACTCCACCACTTCCCACAATTAACCCAAACGCAAAGGGAAATACTCCCCTAAAAATAAAGGGTCCAAGACAACATTTTTCAAAAAGCCCCAAAAGTTTATCCCTTTCCCAATTTCAGGATTCTATGAAAAACTTTAACTCAAAAAGGATTTTTTGAAACTTTGAAAAATTATATTTAAAGTTGTTTCTACATGAAATCGATTTTTAAAACTTAATTCGGTTTTCCCCGGGTTTTATATAGTTCATGTTTAATTTTATTTTGTGAGTTTTGTTTGTATATCTAATTTCAAAATGAAATAACATTTTATTGCATGAATTCTTTAAATTTTCCTAAAAAAATTTAATTTTGGGAGCCCTCAAAAAACTGACATGAAAAGTCTTTTAACAGGGAAGGGGTTCTTACATTTTTGTTTTCTATTATTTTGTTTTAATTGTTTTTCCCGCATTAAAAAAAAATTTGGGTTATTTTTAATAAATTTTGAAAAAAAAACTTTGTTTTACGTAATCCCGGTTGGCTTTTTTTTTTAAACCAAAATTAAAATTTGAAATATATGTTTCAGGGACTAAAACCGAAATTAAAGGGTGGGCCCACTTGAAACCCTTTTCATTCTCACCCGAATGGGGGCATGGGTTTTGGGCCTACTCCCAAACCATTGATACCCCTCCGGGGTCGGGGGGTTAGATCTTTTTACTTCTAACCCATTTTACCTCTCTGGCGGGGGTTTTACCCCCGGGGAGGTTTTGGTATTTAGCGCGGGAAAAGGGGGGTTTTTTATACTTTTAAAAACTTTTCCGGGAACGTTTGTTTGGGGAAATACCCGCCTTATGACTGAAATATTTTGGGGAAAAAGGCGTAAAAGGAAAAAAAAAAACCCAACCTTTTATCTTTCTTTAAAAAACCCACTCATATTTTGGGAAAGGTTTTTCTAGAACTGAACTTTCTAAAAAGCTTTTTAACCCTTCCCCCCGTCTGAGCAAAGTTTAAGACGGACAAAAAATTTTAAAAAAAGGGGGTTTCTTTTTTTTCCCTTTTTTTTTAAAATTTTTTTTTAGAAAGGGCTAATAATGAAAAAACACAACACAAAAAAAATAAAAACTTTCATTTTAATTTAAAACCATATGCAAAACATGTCGTAAGGCGACTTTAGAATTGAAAAAAACTTTCTTATTCATAGTTATCCCCCGGGAAATAGGGGTAGGCAAACATTTTTACGTTATTCATATACGATCTGGGGGAATTTGTTTGGGTTTTAAAACAAGGCAAAATTTGTTTTATTTTTTTAAGCTAACAATTTAGAAAATGGCTCCTGAAAAAATTTTGAAAAGATTACCCCTTTTTATTTCCAACCGACATATAAAAACCCAAAATTTTTAACACTGCCCTTTAATTTATGCATTTTAAGGGGTTTGCCATTTTTTTTGTTGTTTTTTCCACTTTCTATCATTTCAATATAACCTACATAAAAATTGGGTCCAAGAGAAAAAAAATTTTTAATGCAATTTTAACAATGAAAAATTCTTTTTTTTATGAGACGACCAGGATTTTATTTTTGGTTATATTAAAAAGGACCCAATGAAAAGGGTCGACGTGGGGAATTTTTTTTTAATAAAGAGAAATAAAAAATTCCCAAGGAAGGGCAAAAACAAACAAAACTAAATGTTAAAAGGCTGGGTTTTTTGACGGGAATTTTTGGGGGAAAGTGCAAGTTACTTCAATCCTTTACCCCGGGTTTTTTAAGCAGTATTCACATTTAGATTTTAATATTATCATGCGTAGGGCCCCATGAAATTCACTGCGTCCCCAAATTTCAAACTTTTTTTAAAAACCTTTTTTAAAATCTAAAAAGTTTGGGGGGTTGGGTTTTACGCGCACTGACACATTCTTAGAAAAACTTTTTTAACATAAAATTTTTAAATGTTTTATTAAAAAAAATTCGGTATAAGACTTATTTACATGTCCCCGAAACAAAAAAACTGTTCACTTTTATTTGAAAAAAGGTAATAAAAATTCACTTTAATAAAAAAATTTTATGGCCAGGTACATTTTTAGGGTTCATTTCAAATTCTGGGTAAAAAAACCTTTTCAAAAGAAGCTTAATTTTAATTTTTTTTTTATGGGGGAAATTAAAAGAAAAAATTTTAAACGTGAAACAGAGAAAACGTCGTTCCATTTCAAATTGGAAATTCCAACAATTAATTCTCGGGGTTTAAATTTTTTTAAAAAATATGAAATTTATTTTTAAAAAAAATTTTGGAAAAAAAATATCCCTGGGAAAACTTTAATTTAACAAAAAAATTTACAAAAAATTTCCCAAAGACTGGGTTTACGAACTGACATGAGGAGAGGAATAAGTGCAACACCCCTAAACCCCCCTGCACCGGCTTAAGGTACTAAATTCTTTAAAACTCAATAGTGCGGGATCAATAAATCCCAAAAGACCAGAAAAAATAAACGGAATTAAGTAGGGGGCAATTTTTACAGCTCCCAACACGGCATTTGACACCTGCGTTGTAAAAGCTTCTTTCTTTTTTAACCCAACTATTCCCCCAACTTAAAAAAATTTCCAACCAAACCCCCGGGCTTATTTTCCATTTTTATTTTTAAATTTTAAAAAACAAAATACCTAAAAAATTTCAAAATTGGGATGGGGAAAAACATTCCCCGAACTTCCGAAAAAAAAAAAAAAACAACCAAAACCCAAATTAAAAAAAATTCACATTTTTTTTTTCGGCTTTTAACCCCCACCAAATATCAAAAATAATACAAAAAAAAACACCATAAATTTAAAAATAAATGCAAAGCGTTATCACCCTTTGACAAAAAACTCACTTCGAAACCAATTGCAAACAGTATCAAAAAAAAATGTATTCCGAGAAAAGTACAAAAATAATTATAAATACTAATTTTCATATGCACCTTTCAATTTTTTTAAACAGCTCAACCCCAAAATTCTTGGGTGGGGTAACTCAGAAAAAAAACAGGGCTAAAAAGGGAATCCCCTTTTACCCGTCCCCAATTGACCCTCCCGTTTCTTTTTCCCTTAAAATAGCCAAAAATGACTACTCTTTAAAAACGAAATAAACAAACAAACAAAAATTGATTTTACCTAAATTTCTTTTTTAAAAATTTTTTTTAAAACTTTCATCTTTTTGGCTCTTTAGGCGTTAAATCGCTACATATTGGGGGCCATCAACCGCTGGGATAAACAAAACTGGTATTTTCTTCCTCCCCGCCTATCAACAGCTTTTACGAAAACTTTTAAAAAATATTGAAACTATAAAAATCAAAAAAAATTTTTAAAAAACATTACATATAAAGAACAGTGTATCGAGCGAATGGTTCCAGTCAGATTTATTAATAATTCTATAAAATTTGTTTCTTATCCCTATAAAAATAAACTGGCAACGCCCCACTATAAATTAATTTTATCTTTAAAAATATAACTTTATTTTTATGTTTCAAAACGAGCTGTACTTTCCTCTTGACAATAACCACGAATCATATTATGGTTCCATGTAAAAACTGAGATGACTATATATTGTCTCTTGCAGGTAGCCACGTACACACAATGGCCTCATGAAAGTACATTGATGGTTACCCAAACAAAAAAAAGATAGGAATGAATCAGTATAATAAATGATAAACAAATTTACCATTTATTCCCAATTTATTATAGATGGAAATGACATGCAAATGAGCCAATGCATTATGAATAAATTGTTAATAAATCAGTGAAGTGAATTGGTAATGAATTGGGTCCATTTACCAACTTATTATAAATTGTTAATAAATCAGGTTAACAAATGGGTAATGAATTTGGTCCTTTTCTTGACTTAGTCAATGAATTATCAACAAATCAGGTTAATCAATTGGCAATAAATTAGGTTCGCTGACCAACTGATTCATTAATGAATTGCAAATAAATTGTTAATGAATCACTAATAAATTGTTTTTTTTTCTTCTTCCATAAACCGAAATTCAATGTATTTAATGAATCATTAACAAATCAGGCTTGCCTGCTTATATTCATTTAATGGATTTTGAATAAATGCAGGTTCCAATGATGGTGTCAATTCCGGAGAAAAAATATGAAAATAATAATAATAATAATAAAACATATCTTGATAAATTTTATTTATTTTTCTTTTTTTTTACAAACAAAAGCTGACTAGATTAATCAAGAACATATAACAAGATTAAAATTTGTGAAAAAAATCTATGCCACCACATCATAACATTGAAAACTCATAATGTACGTGCATAGCTCATTTCATAAATATCCCTGCAAATAAAACAGGTAATGTCAGGTAAACAAGTAAAGGGGAATAATTCTGGAAATATTCGTGCTTGCTGTTAGGAATATATTTTCTAGTTTTAGAAACTAGGGCTTTATGTCAGTCTGAAAACATCTTTGCCTTCCTTTTCAGTGTCTGTCTGGAGCTACAACCTTTTTTTATTCCTATAATCATTAAATGTTGAATCTCTATACTGAGGCAATGAATGGCATACTCTGAAATAGAAAATAAAATTCTCATAAAAAGTATCATATTTATAAATAAAATATCAAAATTTAAACTTAGACTTCTGACATATCACTCTGAAAAAAAGTATAATATATTTTTTTTCTATTTGCAATACAATCTGAATTTGAATTTCAACTCGAGCCAAATACACTAAAGGACTCAACCACTTTGGACTGTACATGTTCTATTGAATAAAAACCAGCAGTATATTTCACAAAGTCTGATGATAGATAAATATTTGTTGATAAAACAAACCGGTGAATGTTCGATTTCATTTTCAACAGAGGAATGAACAAATATTTTGTAGTAAGTCCAGTTTTTTCCATTTGCTTCAATTAAATTTAAAACGAAATTGAAAGGCTATGACATTGAATTACTATATGTACATGAACAAAATTCAGATTGAAAAGTATTATTTTTTAACATTTACTAGTACTTAATATTTAAAAAGCACATTGTCGTTTTTTAAAATGATTAATATATATATGTAGCCCTATACTTACGCTTCAAAGACTCATATATGTCATTTCCTTGGAATGCTCTCGTCCCATAACTAATAGCAAACTCTTCACGATCAAAGAAGCCGTCCATCTGCATTTTATTATCTCCCGTTCATCTGCTTTTTACCATCTCATCAGAGTTGCTGATTTTTACGTTCTGTCCTTTCTTTGCTGCTCTTTTCAGTTAGCTCTTTTCAGTTTTCTGCGAGATAACTAAGTAAAAGAAAAATAGTCTTCAATAAAAAAGAACATCATTTTTCATCGCATTCAAATGTGCAGATGAGCTCAGTGTGAAACAATGCAGATTTATGTTTTTAAAATGAGCTGTACATAGATATCCACATGCGTGCAAATTTAAAACTTGTATCTTGTATCATAAATATTTTTTCAATCCAAATCAAATGAATAAAAAAATATTTAATTTAAGGTGGTGCCATTAGGGGGGGGGGACGAATCGTCACTAAAATGGGCGAGTCGTTATGGGGCGAATCGATCGTTATCCTAATCTGCACATTACTCCAGTAAATTTTATTTTTTGCCAACTTACATATGATCTAGAAGGTTATTAAAAACGCTATGTAGAACGAAAGAAAATTTTGAACTTACCGTCTATCAGTATACCATCTATCAGTAGTCTAGATGCCTTGATATTGTTTTTTATCCATATTTTTTTGTAACACCACAAGTTTTCATCTTCCAAAATAACCGCCTTTTTCCTATGCATAGAATTAATGCAAACGAAATGTTATTCCTAGCTACTATAGTATTGTATAAAGTTCCTAATTTTGCAGCTGCAATGACAAAATCTGTTGTAAGTTAGTTTGTTTCTGACATTAGTTATATCCAAAAGAAAGAAAACTGTTTGTATGGTAAGTTATCTTTTTCTGAAATGGCCAAAAAATTTCGTTTCCTATTAATCTTGTTCTGTTGTCGGCTGATAGGGGGCGCTCGGTAGGCTGCAGTTCCCTGCAAGATCTTATCGTTTAATCGCGCGGCTGGGAGCCATGCTGTTCAAAACAATATACTAACAACAGATGTTAAGTCCGCGAGAGAATTAAGTCTCTTTTTTACGACATTTTACCTTTTTACGCATATACGTTAATCTATTCGACAGTTTTTTTACTGATAATGATAGATCTAATCATAAAAAGCCGTGGGTATAGATCAGATTGCGTATTAACAATAATTAAGGAAGACAAAAACTGATCTTGATCACTCAAAAATAAAATGCAATCCGGTCAACTCGTCCCCTAGTCAACTCGTCCCCTAGTCAACTCGTCCTCTGGTCAACTCGTCACCTTTTTGGTCAACTCGTCCCCTACTTTTTGGTCAACTCGTCCTCAAAGAGTCAACTCGTCCCTAATATGTCAACTCGTCCCCTACGTTCGCTCTATTCGTCACTATTATGTTGTAAATCAATGTCTTTAAATAGTACGTTTTATGTAAAATTTATAATGAATTTGATTGATATCGAAATATTAATAAAATAACGTCTTTTTTACGTTAAATTTTAATGATCTTTATCTAACCCACGTGCCATAGCTTTGATGTAAAATACAAAGACAGGTAAGTTTGCAAACATTCAATTAATGTTTAATTAATCGGAGTTTTAATTATAATTAAAACTAAAATTAGGTCCAACTCTTTGATTTTTACCTCCTCCCTGAATGGATTAAAGACTGACGACAGATTAACAGAAATTGGAAGTGCTAAAAACTTGATGTCGGTGCGTATTGATCTCATTATAGAAGGATCGTGTCAATTAAAAACATGATAATTGTTTGTTGTGAAATTGTCAATTGTTTCTGATTTTTTTAAAATTGAATTTCATTGTAATATTATGGTCCATTATCATAGGAGTTGTATAAACATACATGCCTTTTGAAAGAGTTAGTATTTTTTTTTTCATTATATTTTTTAAATAAAAAATCCGTACAATGATATTTGCCGTGGATATTAACTAATTGAAAACATAAAGTAATTACTAAATATTCAAATTGCCATCTAATAATAAGTAAAGATTAATATTAAATTTCCATAAATAAATCTTTAAATTGATCTCAAAGAGGAGCTGTATAAAACCGAGTTCCAGAATTTCTTGTATAATACAAGTCAACATATTGAATGTATTAATTGTATTTAATTCAACATTTTCACATATTTGACCATACACCATCAAAAACAAAGTCGACATTTGGATAATAAAATTTTATATAACAACCTTTGGCACGATTTTCACGCGATTTGTATAATTTCTAATTAAAGACACGCGTTCTTTTAATATGTATATACGTATCCAACCACAGAGGCAAATGTGTCTTTAATCCTGTTATCAAATTACTATGTGTTTACTTTAATAACCAAAGGCACGTGTCATGATATATTTAATTAACAACAAAAAAAAAACTCCAAATATTCGCATACAAAAAGCGTCAAAATATGTCAAATTCAGTAATTTTATAATGTATTATTTTAACAGTCTATGATAATTTATTGGGGGGGGGGACGAGTTGGGGACGAGTTGACGAGGGGACGAGTTGTCCAAGGGACGAGTTGACCAAAAAGGTGACGAGTTGACCAGAGGACGAGTTGACCAGGGGACGAGTTGACTCTGAATCAATAAAATCTACATGCAAATTAGTTAAACATATTTAACAGTAAAACGAGTTTGTATAATTGACTCTTTTTTACGTTTTGCGCTGAGCATGGAATTAATAATATGGTGATGCTTAAACTAAGAGACTTGAAAAACCCATATATATTTTCCAGTGACTGATTAAAAACAAGTACGGTAATGAGTAAAGGGAAATTAAAAAAAAATATTTGTATAGTTGAGAGGGTTTAGTTGTTATGAACAGTAAAAACAAAAGGACCTACATCAATGAAAATTTCTGTTATAATTAAGCAAATTATGAACATCTGAAGTACAATGAATATGTTATGAATTGTATTGAATAAATCCTGGAAAATCTCTGATTTTAATGAATCATGAACAACTTGTGAATATCTCAGAACTTTAAAGTGTAATGAATTTGTAATAAATGGTATTAAATGCAGTCGGGAAAAGTTCTATTCCAATAAATCATGAATAAATTGTATACATTCCAGTTCAAGTGTAATGAATTTGCAATAAGTTGTATTGAATATATCTTATGTTTGTAATCTATGGTTAATAAATCTGACTTTTGTAATGAATCTATAATAAATGGGGTCTTTTCTTTCCAGTAAAAGCACAATTTATTTATGATTCATTTAATGAATCATGAACAAATTGTATTAACAAATCAGGAAAACATGATTTATTCCAGATTTATTCACAATTTTGATATAATTTGTTGATGTATTTTTTTGTTTGGGAAAGTCTCTTTCATAGCAGTACAAAAACAAATCGGCGACCAGGGGTGCACAATTAGTACCCATAGGAATTCCTATGATCTGTTTAAATAAGGTATTACCAAACCTGACATAAATGTTGTCTAAAAGAAAAGAGAGTGCTCTACAAACTTCGTCACAAGTCCACATAGTATAATGTTTAACAATACCGTTAGTAAAAAAAGCTTTGTTAGAATTACATGCTAGAAAGGTAACTTTTTCCCGTGCAAAAGTTTTCTGAATTAGGGAAATTAGTTTATCATTGATTAATTTATGTGGCAAAGTTGTATAAAGTGTAGAAAAATCGTATGTACTGACAGTTGAAGCTTGAAAGTTATTAATTTTGAATTTATCCAAGATTTCACCAGAATTTTTAATTGACCAAGAGAGATGTTTGCCTGAGTTTTCATAGACTTTATCACAATATCTAATTACATGTGTTTTAATGGCAGTCAAACAAGACGTCAATAAAATAGAAAGTTTACTTGTAGTGCAAGATGTAGAATTAGCAATAAATCTAGCTTTGTAAGGTTTTTTTATGTAATTTAGGAATCCAATACATAATAGGAAGTTTGAGTTCTTTTTCATTAATTTGGACTTTAAGATTGGAAATATTAGTTATATGATTGTTTACAATGTCTTTTTCGGAGGCAGAGGTTTTAGAATACGCATTAGTGCTATTTAGTTCCTTATGCAAAACGTTAATGTAATGGATTCGTCAAACAATTATAATATTATTAGCCGCCTTGTCCGCTGGCACCAAAACAAATTTTGAATGAAAAGCTAGAATATCTTTTTTCAGATGTCTTAAAGTAAGTCTTGGTTTAGGTGGCAAAAGATGTTCATTTCCACGATAAAAATTAATACGTGAATCAATAATTTTAAAGATGTTACGTTTCCATGTAACTAGAGCATTACTATCTGCATTTTCACGGCGACACCATTTGACCGAAAAATCCTCTATAGATTCAGCAATCTGACCACGACAAGCATTAAAATCAATCTCAGAAGGAATTCTGTATTTAGGTCCTTTCAAGAATAAGTTACGAATTCTTTTGTCTGCAATTATATCAAAATTACCAGTGATTATATGGCCAAAATCTGAATTACAGAATTTAGAAGTATTGCAGTCTCAAGTTGTTGGAGTATTAGACTGAATATCTAAGTCAGAAACCACTTTGTTGTAATTAAATATGATATTTCTAACAGGTTTCTTATATTTATAGCAAATAATTGGTATCTCGGAGTTTTTGAAGTATAAAGGAACTGAATTAGTGACACGTTTATCACGAAAAATACTTGGTAAATCGATGAAATCGATACCTTTATTAAGAAAGGTTACTTTTAGGAAATGCCTGTTGTGGTCAGAAGTGTTGTCGATATGAGGTCTTAAGACGTGCTGAGTATAACTTTGAATAAGATAAGCTGCTGTATATAAAGGATCTGTTTATCTGCCTCCGCGTCTAAGATTTTCAGAGATGATAATGAAAGGGAAGTAAGACGTGATAACATTGCATGTTTACCAGAGTTTTTTAAGATAATATTTAAGTCGGTGACAGACAGGGTAATTTTAGATTTACGTTTGATGTTGCCATTTCTACGTACTCCGTGAGATCGGGATTTACGTTTACGAATATTCAGAATAGAAAATATATCAATGTTTGGATCTTTAGAGAGGTTACCTTGTTGAAAAATATTGTCATTTAGGCCAAGTGGGAAAGGCGTTTGTAAGTTCTTGATCCATTTTAATTCTGCTAAGTGTCTAACTTTAACTTTAAAACTAGCAGAAGCATCAGAATCGTAAATTATTTGTTCCACTGGTTGAATTGAAACATTTTTAAATGAATGACCATCTTTACGAAAATGTTTGATAAAAGCCACAATATCTCACAATCAACAAAGGCACGCATTGACACATAAAACATTCTGCTATCCGATGTAGGCAGAGGTAGAATGTCATGTTTTGTTTTGATATGTTTACGAAATTTCTGATAAAAGTGGTGGAACGTCTTGTTTTGAAAGTGGTACAAAATTTCTGATAAATGTCTCCCGTTTTCACAGATATATGTAAGCTTCAAAACCCTGTTTTATTTACTCCAGCAACCATAATGTCTCAAAAGACGATTCTGTTTGTTTGGCTGATTTTACGGCACACAAACACAGTTATAGTGAAAGACGTTTTCAAAATGAACCTTTTAATGTATGTTGATGAGGTATAAGACAGTATAAAAACGATGCCGTGAAACAATGAAAAAACTTGAGTGATTTTCCGACAGATGCTCTGACAAACAACAACATCACATTTATTGATTGATTCATTTTAGTATCTGATTGTTTGTTGTTTGTTTGTTTTGGTTTTAACGGCACATAGACAAATAACTGGCCATACCGCGCCGAACACTATTATTGTTAACATAAGGATATTAAACCTCAAAAGGAGGTTAGTACATCATTATAATATGGGTTTGTTAACCCTTTACCACATGAGCATATTGTGAAAAAATGGCCGTTTTCATTTAAAAGCCTCATGTTACAAGTTCAAACTGCTCCAGTACTGATGAAGTTTGGCACAAATGTTTTTCAATGTGCTGCAACTTCTCAAAAGATTAAGATAGAGTAAAAGGCTTTTCAGCGTTGGTTACACGTTACCTTACGATCGACCTGAGGCCATTTTTAGCCTGTCACATGTACAAAATTTTCTTGGCGATGAGGGGGGCTACCACCCCCTTCAAACCCCCGAAACAGAAGGGGGCACATCCCCCTTCTGGCAACCCCCTGATGTGTCTATTTGATAAGGGATAGCGTCGAAAAAGTTATCACTTTTTTTACACCATTTCTCAAACGAAATA